TGACTGATCCTGAGACCTTGCCCAAGAGAATCTTTTAGCCTAGGTTTTCTTGGATATTATTTCTTCATCTTGGTATTATCTTGGGAGAACACCCACCTTTCAAAGTGGTACTGATGGCTAAGTAAGAGAGGGCATGAAAGACTGTTGCATAATCCCTGGACAGAGTAAACCTTCAAATGTTCATCCCCATTTTCTCATGGGAACCTCAGGTGCACACCTCATGTTGCCTGTCCGCCTTTCTGTACTCCCTATAATTCAGTCTTCAATTCTTAGTTGATGATTTAATGCCTTCCTTTTTCTTCTTAACTCTCTAATACCTCCTTTCCCAGCCTCACTCCCAGCTGAACAATTTGCTTTCTATTCACTGAGAAGACTGAATCATCGGAAGAGAACTTCCACACATTCACTCCCCATCACAGCTCCCCACCTGCCTTCATCTGCACCTGCAGATTCTGCCCTCCCTCCTGTTACTAAGCCCATACAGCTAAGGTCAGCTCCTCTGCTTAGTCTGTTCCTCCTAGCTTACCCAGACCTTGCTCCAGCAATTCTTGCCTCTCTTTCCACTGTCACTCTTTCCCTTTCTACTAGATCCTTCCCATCAGCATATAGGAATAGAGCATAGCTCCTATTTTTCCAATGTATGAGCCACCGTGCCCGGCCAAATAACTACATTTTATATACATTCATATGAACATGAATTAATCTAAATGAGTGAGAAATGAAAGTGATAATGTTTCTCATTCATATATTCATTCAACAAATATTTATGTGCTAGCTGTACTCTGCACCCCTACTGGTTTGGATTTAAAGGTCACTAGTATGGTCTCCCTGTCATGACCCACCAGCAGCAAGTTACCTTTTCTTCCTCAACTGCCATCACAGATTTTCTATACCTTGTGTATGGTATGTATTATTACCTGTGATATGTATGGGTCTTATTTGTCTTACTAAAATAAATTCCAAGAGGACAAAGGTGGTATCTTTATTTTATTTTATTTTATTTTATTTTATTTTGAGATGGAATCTCACTCTGTCGGCAGGCTGGAGTGCAGTGGCGTGATCTCGGCTCATTGTAACTTCCAACTTCCTGGTTCAAGCAATTCTCCTGCCTGAGCCTCCAGAGTAGCTGGGATTACAGGCACGCACCACCAAACCCAGCTAATTTTTGTATTTTCAGTAGAGACAGGGTTTCGCCATGTTGGCCAAGATAGTCTCGATCTCCTGACCTCGTGATCTGCCTGCCTCAGCCTCCCAAAGTGCTGGGATTACAGACGTGAACCACCGCTCCCAGCTGGTATCTTTATTTTATAGATTATGTAGGAGAAAACAGTTTAAAGTCAGACATCTTGCATTCCACCTTTGCCAGTGACTGATCCTGAGACCTTGCCCAAGAGAATCTTTTAGCCTAGGTTTTCTTGGATATTATTTCTTCATCTTGGTATTATCTTGGGAGAACACCCACCTTTCAAAGTGGTACTGATGGCTAAGTAAGAGAGGGCATGAAAGACTGTTGCATAATCCCTGGACAGAGTAAACCTTCAAATGTTCATCCCCATTTTCTCATGGGAACCTCAGGTGCACACCTCATGTTGCCTGTCCGCCTTTCTGTACTCCCTATAATTCAGTCTTCAATTCTTAGTTGATGATTTAATGCCTTCCTTTTTCTTCTTAACTCTCTAATACCTCCTTTCCCAGCCTCACTCCCAGCTGAACAATTTGCTTTCTATTCACTGAGAAGACTGAATCATCGGAAGAGAACTTCCACACATTCACTCCCCATCACAGCTCCCCACCTGCCTTCATCTGCACCTGCAGATTCTGCCCTCCCTCCTGTTACTAAGCCCATACAGCTAAGGTCAGCTCCTCTGCTTAGTCTGTTCCTCCTAGCTTACCCAGACCTTGCTCCAGCAATTCTTGCCTCTCTTTCCACTGTCACTCTTTCCCTTTCTACTAGATCCTTCCCATCAGCATATAGGAATAGAGCATAGCTCCTATTTTTCCAATCTTAAAAAATATTTCTGTTGACTTTACATTTTACTCTTTCTAGCACTTTATTTATTTGCTCTATTTTATAGAAAAAAATCCTGGTAAGAGTTGTCTCTAGTTGATAGCTGCAATTTCTCTCCTTTCATTCGCTCTTAAGCTCAGTCCAGTCTGGCTCTTGCCTCCTTCCTCTCTTCCAAAACTGTCTTGTCAAGTTCACCAGCAAATTTTGTGCTGCTTGCCTGTGATCCCAGCTACTCAGGAAACTGAGGCATGAGAATCACTTGAACCCAGGAAGTGTGAGCTGAGATTACACCACTGCACTCCAGCCTGGGTGACAGAGCGAGACCCTGTCTCCAAAAAAAAAAAAAAAAATTGTGCTACTGAATTTCAATGGTCAGTTTTCAGGGCTCTTCTTTCTTGGCCTACCAGCAACACTGAACAGAAGAGTTGATCACTCCCTCCTCCCTAAAATTCTCTCTTCACCTGACTTTGAGGTTCTTCTCTGGATAGTATCAGAGGCTGCTCCTTCACTCCTTAGTGGGCACCTTCTCACTCCATGACTCCTAACGTTGGAGGATCCAGGGCTCAATACTTGGACCTTTTCTTTTCCCTATAGCCTCTTTGACTTCTCCTCGGAGATCTTATTCAGTCTCATTGTTATGTACATCCACACAATGACAAAGCCCAAATTTGTATCTCCAGCCTGGACCAATTGCCCAAAATACAGACTTGTACATCAGCTGTCTTCTTGCCAAGTCTATTAGACACCCACACTTAACATCTCCACAGTGGAACTCCTGATTTTTCTCCCCAATTCTGCTGTTTGCATTCTCAATCATGTTAATTAATGGCAGTTCTATCCTTCCAGTTGCTTAGGCAAAAGCCCTCCTGTCATTATTGATAGCTCTCTTCCTCTCATATTCTGATACAAACTATCAACAAATCCTATTGTCACTGTCTTAAAAATGCATGCAGAATCTGGCCTCTTCTCACAGCCTGGTGGTAGCCACTGACAATTTCTTGCCTGGATGATTGCAGCAGCCTCCTCATTGACTCCTATCTTCCACCCGTGGCTTCCTACAGTCTGTTCTTAACACAGCAGTTAAGGTGAATGTGTTGCTCCTCTCCTTAAAAGCTTCCAAATAAAAACAAATCTCTTTACCATGACTTCATACAATCATCCTCTCCTGCCCACCATCCCATTGCAATGACATAGCAAGACTTTGTATGATCATCCTCTCCCCTGCATCCCACCTCCATCTCTCTGATTTCATCTCTACAATTCTAGGCCACACTGGCCTCCCTGCTGTGCCGCCAACACAGCTGGCACAAACTGCCTTATGGCCTTTGCCCTTCGCACCTACTGTTCTTTCTGGAATCCTCCTCCCCCATATGGCCGCATGGCTTTTTATTTTATTTTATTACTTTTTTTTGAGATGCAGTCTTGCTCTGTTGTCCAGGCTGGGGTGCAGTGGCGCAGTCTTGGCTCACTGCAACCTCCACCTCCTAGGCTCAAGTGATTCTCCTGCCTCAGCCTCCCAAGTAGCTAGGACCACAGGTGCACACCACCACACTTGGCTAATTTTTGTATTTTTAGTAGAGACAGGGTTTTACTGTGTTGAACAGGCTGGTCTCGAACTCTTGACCTTGAGTGATCCTGCCCGCCTCAGCCTCCCAAAGTGCTGGTATTACAGGCATAAGCCACCATGCCTGGTCCTGCCTCTTTACTTCCCTTGAGTTTTTGCTCAAACGACATTCTCTTATAAGAGCTTCCCTTGCAACCACCCTGTTCTCTTTATCCCCCTTGCCTACTTTATTATGTCTCTATATAATGCTTATCATCTTATTTATTTTATTCTTAGTTGTTTTGCTATTTAGTTTAATATTTATTGAATGGATGAAAGGATTAAAAAAATTGGAACATTAGTTGGCAATATGAAGTAGGTAAATGAACAACTGCTATGCATGATTACTGAAGACTTGTGCAATAGTAAGAAGCACGTATATATACCATGAGTGCTATGCTTATTGATAAACACAAGTTGAAGGAAATTTTATACGTAAATTAATAATATCTCCATTTCATTACATACCACCAGTTTGTCTTCTGATCAACTTGCTGGGTTGTATGGATCAATAGAATATACTTCTCGTGCTTCTAAACGAAAAGCTTCTTTCTGGCTTGTATTTGTATAATAATTGCTAAACAGAAGAAGAAAAAGGTAGTATCTTTACTCATTGACCATGATTCAATATAGCAGTTGTTTGCTTTCCATAATTCCCAACACATGGTAAGTACTTTTGTGGAAGATTTCATTTTTTAAAATTATACTTTAAGTTCTGGGGTACATGTGCAAAATGTGCAGGTTTGTTACATAGGTACACATGTGCCATGGTGGTTTGCTGCACCCATCAACCTGTCATCTATATTAGTTACTTCTCCTACTGTTATCTCTCCCCCGACCCCCCACCTGGTGAAAGGCCCCAGTGTGTGATGTTCCCTTCCCTGTGCTCACATGTTCTCATTGTTCAACTTCCACTTATAAGTGAGAACATGCAATGTTTGGTTTTCTGTGATGATTTCATTTTTATTGTTTTTATCCTATGAGGTGTAAACACTGTAATTCCATTTTTTTGGAAAGGCACATAAAAAATTAATGATCTAGGCTTGTAAGTGTTCAAGTCAGAGGCTGACACTAGACAGCTTTACCCTAGAACCAGGACGCTTAATGACTAACAACTACAACTTCCAAAGTGAAGAAAAGAAGCAAAAATACGTTCTTATTTTAGAATTTGATCATAACTTTGCCCTTTTGGGACTCAATCTTCTAGTCCAACTTAAAAGCTTTAAACGAGTTTGAAGAGAATGTTTTTACTTTCCTTCTTTGAAAGTACATATATTTCATAGTGTTTCTAAAACCACTTTGCCAGAATTACTAAAAGACAATAAAATGTGATTATACTACCATGTAGAGCTCTGAAATAAGGTAATACAAAATTACTGGGGAAGAAAGAATACCGCTAAGGATACTGTCACCACGTCACTCACTACAATATTGAAGAGTTTCGTGTATAGGAGATATGTTAAGAAGATTACAAAACAGTAATTTTTAAGTCGATGTGAGATTTAAGCTTTGTTACAATATCTTAGATGACTAGAAAAGAATAGCATAGTATCTTTCAAAGGTTTAGATGGCTTTTAAAAATATTTAATATTGTCACTAGACATTCATTTTTAAATGATTACTCATCTCATTTACAAAAAGCATTTAAGGCTACTCAAACGTCTATATCAATTATTGGAAAATCAATTGAAGTGGGTTAGCAAATGGAAATAAAACAAATGAATGACACCTAGGAATCTGGTTCAACAGGTATGTTTGGTTCATATCAATTGAGGCACTTAAGTATAGTACATGATATAATCATATTAATAAACAATAATTAGACTGGAACATTATAAATCATTTGCACTTGTAAGCATTCCCCAAATTTGCAAATTTTTATACACATGCAATGCTCTTGAGAGCAAACTCAGTAGCATGAAGGAAAGAGATAGAGACTGTATTTTCTATGTGTTTATGTTTCTAATTACTCTTGGCTGAAATTATCTTATGACTTCCTATGAGGAAGGCCCTGCAAATGACATCCCTATTTTTTTTGAGACCCTTTTCTCCTTGAATTCTGTGACATTACTCTCTCCTAGTTTTCCCCCTGCCTCTCTTCTTTCACTTTCCGCCTTTTGAACACTACTGTTCTTCTGAGGGCTGTTCTCATCCCAATTTTTATCTATTCTGTCCTTTTTGGTCCCACAGCTTCCATTTTGATTTAAGTCTCACCCACCTGGGTCCAGACCCTTCTCCCAACCCTAAATCATGAGTACCTCAAAGTAACAGGTCAGAAACGAACTCCTCATCTTCCCCCACAAACCTGCCCCCCTCCTCTTTTAATGAGTCAGGGAGTCCACGTCATCACCTTCATGTGAGCCATTCTATGTGCCTTCTTCGCCCCACATCCAGCATGTCACCAAGTCCTGGAAATCCTGTCCTCTTGATAGCAAAGAACCTCTTATTAAATATTCTCATGGTCCTTGTGAGTCTCCACAAGAAAAAAATACAGTGTGCAGTATGTCCAAATCTTATTTGCCATAGAACACCTTTTTTTTTTTTCTGAAGTCATTCATGAAAACAGGGTTGTGTGGCACACACTCTGGTAAACTCTACACTCTAAGTACACGCTAACTGTACAGCACAGCCAGAACCCCATAGGCAGCCCTTACCCTCGCGCTCCCAGCCTAGAACAAACTGCCCAGGTTGTAGATACCCTCAGTACATAGTTTCAGTGCAACCCCTTCATGTCTGAGCCTAGACTAGGAATTACATAACTGAGCTATGGCATCAGATGGCACTGGTGGCAGGGTAAATGATAGATCCAGAGGACTTGGCACACTAAATGAATTTTGCTGAAGCTTTTTGGTGACATGTTTTAGGTGGCATGACTTTGTCATCTCCCCAGTCTGAGCTACCTGAGAGTTGGTAAGACTTCATTGGATTATCCACCCTAACACTAGCATGCACAAAGACTCACGAACCTATGCACATATAACATCCGAGGCCAACACCTGACGGTATGCTTTGCTAAAAATGTATCCTTTGCACATATCAGTATTCTATAGCTTCCACAAGATTTATGTGTCAGAGTTTTTTTTTTCTTCCTTTAATGGCATGCCTCCACCTAAAGCTATGCCACTTTTACCTTCAATCACCATCACACACACAATTTCCTAGCCATTTCAAATGGATTATGTAGTTCTTACAATACATGATGGAAAGCCAAGGCTCTGGGCCTTTATTCAAACTGCTTTTTCTGTCTGGAATGCCTTTCTCTCCTTGTCTACACTCTCTTGAGGCTCACCGGAAACATCTCTTCCACAGTGAAACTTTTTCTGATTAAAACTCCCAAATATTAACCATTTGCTTTGCATCCTCACCAAATATCATATAATTCACCATGGCGACATTATTTTATGGTACTTGTTTAGTGACATGCTTGTCCTCCTTTACCAGGCTGTGACCTCCTTGATGACAGAGGCCATATGCTACTAGGCTTTGTTATTTTAGCCTAGTATAGTGCTAAGACATAGTAGGCACTCAGCTGTTGTTGTGCAAGAAAAGAATGAATTGGACGTGGTCATTACCTCTTTTCACGTGACTTCTATTTCTCTAACATTACTGCTCAAATGTTTTAAAAGCCATGCATGTATATATAAGATAGAGCAACATATGAAAGTGTCTACAGCAAATCGCTGATATCTATCAACTTAACATGTTGGACTTGAAGGCAGCAGCAGTTGTGCAGTGGAAGAGACTATTCAATTTCTTTATAAACTATTTAATTTGCTACAACAAGCATATTTACTTTTGTATTTTAAAAACGTATGCAAATATTTATAGTGATATAAAAGACATATTAAAGAAGGGAAACAAGATTTTTCAGTGATTTTAAATAGGGAAAAACAATATTTGTGACTAGAAATACACTTTCTGTAACACAGAAAAGAAAAAAGGATGCAGTATCACTTTTAGTGATAAAACACAGGAGGCTTTATATTAAAAATAAAGGTTAAAATATGCCAACATTCCCTAATAGTATTGAAGATTTTCCTTAAAATTCTTCTCAGTAAAATGAGACAAAAACCAATAAAGGAAAATGTATAATCAGTAGATATGAGGAAGAAATTATTTCTACCAATAATAATAATTGGTAGAAAATACAGTTTTCTACTTAGATGATTGGGTAACTCACTGAAAAGCTATTAGAATTAATGATTGTATAAAGATAGACTTTCCTAGATATCATTTGCAATTACTTATAAGACATAACCAAAAATGATTCTATTTATAAAGCAATAAAAATAAGATACTTTTATGTCTATGTAGCTTATATGAAGTAATCTATTAAATTTTAACTGAGATATAACAAAACATCTGAATAATTAGTCATCTGGTGTTTCTGGAAGGAAATAGTGAATATCATGAAAAGGTCAGTTCTTCCCAAATAAATATGTAGGTTTAAGGCACTTCCTATCAATGATCTAACATTTTATTTTATTTTTCTAGGGTGTGGGAGGTGTAGTTGCGGTGTAAATAATTCTATAGCCTATCTGCAAAAATAAATAGAAGAAAATTTCAAAATAGTTTTAAAGAGGGGGAACATATCTCAGAAAAAGCTATTATAAAGCTACATTTACTAATAGAGTAGCTCTGACTCAAAGAGACAGGCTGATCAGTGGAATATGATCTATCTTGCATATCTATGTCAGATATCTCTGACATAAGCCCCAGTGTACATAAGAATTGAATAAGCGTGCTTTATCTGATAAAGAAAACTACGAACCAATGTTGAAGGGATGGTTTACTCAAAATAGGTTTTGAAAAAATTGAATATATAGAGAAAAAAAGTACAAGTAGGTTTACTTCAGCTACCATACCATAAAATAAATTCCCAATGGATTCAGGTGTTTAGAAATAATTAAAAATAATATGTAAAATATATCTAATTTCTGGATAAGAAAATATAACACACCAAAACATAGAAACCTAGTAATACAGTTAATATTTAAGTAATCATGAAAATGACTAATGGAGAGAAAAGATTACTTGATCAAATGGAAAGACCTAATATGTTTCTGAATGGGAAGACATTACGGAAAAGATGCCAATTTCTCACAAATTAATCTATCGACTTAAATGTAATCACAATTTTTTTGAAATTACAAATGATTCTAAAAATCACCTATAGGAACAAACAGAAGAGAATAGGAGGAAAGTCCGATAAAATTGTAGTGTGAATTCTTGCCCTACCAGATATAATAACATAAAAGTATTAATTAAACACAAAGTGGTTTGTAATGGAAGAACAGGCAAATCAATGAAGCAGGAAAAGGGGTTGAGAAACACAATATATTCAGGTACATTAACTATTATTAAGAACAAACTTTCTGGCAAGTCATCTGACAATAGTTATCAAGTATATTAAATGCTCATGCACTTATCTTTAGTAACTCTAGAAATCTATTCTAAGGAAATAAATGGGTGTGAAAAAAGGTTTAGCCAGAGGTGTTACTCATATCTTTATATATTATCAAAGTAAATTTGGAAGCAACTTAACACACATAAATACACAGAGTAGAATAATATGCTATTTAGTAACTGAAAACATGACTTAAAGACATAAAAATATAAACATGAGTCTAAATGAAAAAAGTCAAGACAGAAGATGAAAATGACAAAATTTCAGTTTAAAGAGAGAAAAAATATACGAAAAAGATCAGGTAGGAATACACCAAAATATTTGCAGTTGTTCCCACTGGGATTTTTTTCCTATTCTCTAGATTTATTTACAATATCCTGTCTGAATAAACATCATTCAATAAAATAAGCTAAGTGTTTGATATCTCTTAAGTACTACAGAAAAGTCTTCCTTTTGTATAGCACGAGATACTTCATTTAGTTATCACACTGCAGTATTTATTTCACATAACTTGTGCTTCTGTGTTTAGTTTCAGATAAGAAGCCAAAACCATTTGTGCATGTTGGTCAAGCATGCATTTGCATCTGAACTTACCGTTCTCTGTGTTTTGATATCATGCATAAGGTAACAACAATCAAGAAGATAAGAAGTATCAAACCTGCAGCAATACCTAGAAGAAAAATCCAGCAAGTATCAAATGCCAGAAGACTATCACCTACATTGTTCTGAGCTGATTGTGGGGTCTATTGCTAGTGGAGAGGAAAATGTTATGTGACTCATACTTAGCCTTTCTTAGACATAAACACTGAATTCCTGAATAATCATAGTTGAGTTTAAGGTTTTTCTGATTTGACCCAGTCCACATTTAATCTAGAGCACCAAGCATATGACCACAAGGTTCCAGTCAACTTTTCACTGAGTTTTTCTGTTCCTTTTAGTTTTATTAGTAACAATCTTGTCACTGAGGTGACAAGAGAGAAATCTCAAGAATAGAAATTAGGAGCACAGGATACCAGGTTCTTATAATTTTGCATAACAACATTGAACCCTCAGCTGTGAAATATATTTTACTACAGCAGAAGAAGCCTGCCTATTTCAACAGATCAAATCAAGCCAAAGACCAAGAGTTAATAAAAACTAAAGTATCAATTTAAAAAGAAGAAAGAGCTGGCTGTTCAAATAATTTATCCAACTCTATGCCAAAGTAACATTTTGTAATGTGACATGTACATTGAAATATCTTTAAAACACCAAAAAAAGAACATCCCCTATGAGTTAAATATTATCGTCAGATAGGATATAAGACTTCTAGCATTACAATTTTTTAAAAAACATTATAAGAGCTTTTCTTCCAGCATTTAAGAAGACTTACCAGAAAGGACAGGAGCAAGTGAACCTGAAAATAATACAAAATCATGAAAATGATTATCAGTCTAGTGTCATAATTCAATGTAGCCCCATGTTTCATGGTAGTGTCCCAGAAATCAACACTCTAGCTCCCTTCCAAGTCGATTTAAAAGATGTATTGGAGCCAGGCACAGTGGCATATGCCTGTAATCCTGGCACTTTGAGAGGCCAAGGTGGGAAGATCACTTGAGCTCAGGAGTTTGAGACCAACCTGGGCAACATCATGAGACCTTGTCTCCATTTTTTAAAAAACAAACAGATAAAAAAGATGTATTGGAACCTTGAGTTATACCCACTTGCTTTTTACGTAACAACTCACTGGGCTTTTTTTTTTTTTCCCCACTCTAAGTAGGTTGGGGGAGTTCACCAATGACAAAACCAAAATACTCAACTTTATAATCAGAGATTTCTCAGGTTAGAATGCAAATATTAACGGTAACAACTAGTTATTTAACCTATTTCTGTTCCCTGTCAAACTGTAAGCACTTATTAACTCAGATTCATCATGTAGGGTGGTCTATGCGGCAACTCCTTTCAAAATGTCAGGTTGCTTGGTTTCACATTTTTGCTCCTTTTAAATTAGTGTTTCTCTCTATTTTCTTTTCTTCACTTTCCCCTTCCTAAGAAAGCTGTGTTTTTTATTTTCCTTTTTCTTTCTTATTTTCTTTCCTTCTTTTCTTCCTTTTCCTTCCTTTCCTTTTGTTTTTTTTGACAGGGTCTTACTCTGTTGCCCAGGCTAGAGTGCAGTGGTGCAATCATGGCTCACTGCAGCTTTGACCTCCTGGGCTGAAGTGATCCTCCCATCTCAGCTACCCAAGTAGCTGGGGCCACAGTTGCACACCTCCATGCCTGGCTTTTTATTTATTTATTTATTTTTATTTTTTTATAGAGACCAGGTCTCACTACATTGCCCAGGCTGGTCTTAAAGTCCTAGGCTCAAGTAATCCTCCTGCCTCAGCCTCCCAAAATTCTGATATCACAGGCAGGAGTCACGTACCTGGCCAAGCTGTATTTTTTCTAGAATAGACCACCGACTTCAAGTTCCTCTGTAATTATACCACTGGTCACAAACCTATGTCAATTTAAAACCCAGGACTCTCCACACTTTGGGAAACCCTCACTCTCTTCTCTCCTTTAGCCAGTTACAAGTGGCGGTGAAGCCCGTGGTACTTACGGGATCTGCAAACCGCCAGGGGAGGGTTCCATTGGTGATCTGCCTGACACTGGCTCTGGGAACTGCCTTCCAGCATATATCCATCTTCACACTCCAGAGTTACAACAGCTCCATACTGATACATTTTCCTCGGTTCCAGCCCCTTCTGGATTCCATCCATATCTGCTGGTGAGCTACAGTTTACCTCTGAAATTAAAGAAATCTAATTCAAGCACAGTCAAATTTTGGTCTTTTACCAAGAAAACAGAGATTTCCCTTAGTAGAAAGATTTACAAAACCAACCTATTTCACTCTCAGTAAGGAAAGCTGCACTGAAATAGGATAAGACAATATCCTCGACACAATCTTTTACTGTCAGCCCTCTATCTCAATAACCTCTGGGTAATTTAAGCCAGATTGTATTTTTTAGTTTTTGCTTCAGTTTCTATCCAAACAGTGATGGATAATTTTAATGGCTTCTTGGAGAAATGGTGAGGGCTGAATTGGTAATATTACTAATTATTCTGAATTACCGGTTTTTTTTTCTGCTTCTAGTTTTGCTCTCTAATTCTTCATACAAGTGTATGCTTTCTCATTTCTTTCATCTTTTCGGTATAGTCATCATTAGTGTGAGTGATACGGTTTAGCTGTGTTCCCACTCAAATCTCATGTTGAATTGTAGCTCCCATAATCTCCATGTGTCATGGGAGGGACTTGGTGAGAGGTCATTGGATCATGGGGGTGGGTTTTCCTGTGCTGTTTTTGTGATACTAAATAAGTCTCATGAGATCTGATGGTTTATAAAGGACAGTTCTCCTGTACATGTTCTATTGCTTGCCACCATGTAAGATGTGCCTTTGCTCCTCCTTCACCTTCCACCATGATTGTGAGGCTTCCCCAGCCATGTGGAATTGTGAGTCCATTAAACCTCTTTCCTTTATAAATTACCCAGTTTCGGATATGTCTTTATTAGCAGTGTGAGAATGGACTCATACAGTGAGATCTTGGATTTGAAGCCTGGCTCTAGTACTTCCTAGATGTGTGACTTTGGGTGAGTTCTAAATCTCTCCATGCTACTGAAACCTCATCTATGAAACATGGATAATCATGGCACCAACCTCATGTGGCTCTCATGAAGACTAAATGAAATAATGCATGTAAGGTGCTGTGCACAGTGTCTGGCATAGAGTAAAAAGTGATCAACAAATACTAGATACTAATTTACTAGTCATATTTCATAAGCACTGTTTATGATAATGAAAATGACTTTCTGAAACTCTTATAAAAATGTACCCATAATCCCACCAACGCTCAGTAAATATTCTCAAAAGATTGCTGTGCTTTTTATTGGTACTTTATCAAATACACACTTAACATAACTGTAACTACAGTGTATAAATACAATCCGTGCTATAGTTGTTTAATTTACAGACATACTCCAACTTTCTATGTGTAAATGACTACATAAGTGGTCATTCACCGGATAGACTACAGCCTGAGACATTTTTTATTATTTTGAAATATTTAGATTAATGACTGTATTGATCTAATTAAAGCATTTAATGTAATGAGGCAATTAATGCATTTCTTTGGCTCTTTTAAGTTGAAAGTACCCAACTTTGGCACAAATTTGATATAAAAATAAGAATAAAAAATAGACAAAGCACCTTTACAATGAGGGGCAGGTCGGTTCCAGGTTCCCTCATGTGTGCAAAGAAGGAGTGCCTCTCCCACCAGCAGGTAGCCTTGGTCACAGCTGTACAGGATTGACATTCCAGGGGAAAACCGAGCTATGTTTCCACCAGTATGGTTCCCGTTGGGGGTCTTAGGCGGAGGCTGACACCCTACGAAGGCTTAGACACCAATAAGAAAGGGTCTTTAACTCAGCACAGAGAAACACATAGCCTGCACTGTTTCTGGGTGATAGCGATACAGGAAGGCCAGAGGCAACAAACCAACTAACTGGTGTCCAGAAACACTCATTCATTCCACCCAGACCGGCAACACTGGACGGAGACCTGCATTTCCTACTGACAGCCAACATGATTTGAAGAAAAGTATTAAAAAATAAGGTAATGAAACATTAACGGATACAGTTCACAATGGTAATCCATCAGCCAACAGTTTTCTTTTCTTTTCCCTTTAAATAGCAGACAGGGTTACACCTTCAAATGTCTACGAGAGCTAGGAAGTGAAGCCACCAGATACGACAAGTCAGAGAGCCCCTGTCCTTCTAAAAGTGGCAGCCACTGCTCAGGTCAAGTTACTGGTGCCTTGCCAGGAAGCAAAGGGGGCTCTCTTGGCTCACAAGCTCACTATTTATCTTCCACTGAAGATGGGTTTCACTTAAGATTACTGTGCTGGCCAAAGACAACCATTCTGTGGAGCTGAGTTCCAATTCTTGGGTCGCCAATCAGCAGCCTCTGCTGTAGATAGTCATGGACAGGAATAAGGCTGCCAAATGATAACTACAATGACAAGAAAGACAACTCAATGGGTTGGAGGGCCAATTAATTCTCCAGAACACCCAAAGTTCTCTTTCTGGCTGGCAACATAGCCTTAAATATCAAATTATTAGCAATATTACTGCCAATCATTTGCCAAAAATGTATGTGCATTTTTCTTATACTAAAGTCATAAGAACAACAGTTTTGGAGACTCTGTCAATTTGGAAGTTAGCCATTATCCTTTCATGTACTATTTATTGCTCAATACACTGAGAAAGGAAAGAGAAAACAAACAATCAAGTGAGAAGATAGGAAAAGGCAGATACCTTGTAAAACAATATAATGGCCTTAGCTCTTAGATGCTTTTCTTTAGGCAGAATGTCAAGTGCAGATTCAAAACCTTTTTTCTTTACTCTGTACAACATCCCATAATTTATTTCTTTAAGTATCTTACCTTTTTTGATACAAGTTGGCACACCTGGCACCCATGTGTTATCAGTATGACACCTAATCATGCGACTACCGTTCATGATGAAGCCGGGATGGCAGTCAACATACACTATGTCATCGTGGGAATATGCAGAAAGCGTTTTATTCAGCTTGTACCCGTGTTTGACTTCTGGGTTAGGGCAGCTAGTCACAGGAGGAGATTGTAAGCACTGTGGGGAAGGCCCACTCCAAAATCCATGTCCTTTAGAATCACTTCTGCACTGCAATTTTTTCTCTCCCAGGAGATAGAATCCTTGGTCACATTCATAAGAGACTTCATTTCCATATAGAAAGTTTTCTGCCATCATGCCTGTGTGCTTCCCATTGACAATCACTGGTGGAGGGTGACAGTGAATAACTGCGGAAGAGATTTAGGGAATTCTGCCTCAGCTACTACCTCAAGGTAAGCGGTCTTCATTCAGGTACAAAAGACAATATGCAACTGCATATATTTCACATAACAAAAAATAACTTAAATTTTGGAATATGGATTATGCTTTTTTAAAAAACAACTTTATTCAATGTGATTATATGAGTACTATATACTCCATAAACATTCAGAAAATAAAGTGTAAAGGAAGAAAGAAATACAGCTATGTTCCTATGACCTAGGAATATGGGCTATGTATTTTGTTATTAGCAAAATTAGCAGATGCATGGAAAATACTTTCTACTTGACAATGTTTCTCAGTGTCCATGCTGACCAACACCATAAGATTTTTCATATCTAACCTCCAATGAGGGAGATCCCTAAGACTGCCAAAGCAGTGGTAGACTAGTTCTTCAGCAACCTGCCCTCTCTAGTCCTCCATTACCATGGTCAGGCTTTTATTTTTTCTAACTTACCTTTACAAAGTGGAATCTTTTTGAACCAAATTCCATTTTCATCATCTTGACACTTGTGGTAAGTATGTCCAGTCAACCAGTACCTACAGAGAGACAGATTATAATGCATTTCCTGTTCCCAATATCACATCTCTTCAAACCACATGCACAAAGGGACTTCTAAATAAGAACTTTGGCAGAGAGGAGTTGAAATTCTTGGTCCTCCAAGTAAAAAAAAATAAAATAAAATAAACTACTTTTGAGTTAAGCAAAGCCCTTTCCATGTCAAGAGAGGACTGAAGAGTCAGAGTTGCTAGTTAGGCCATTGGAACCTCATATTCTCCATGCATGTGACAATGAGGAGCCTCTAAAGGATTCCACCAAGACAAGTTGAAGGTCGAGTTAATCCACAAAACGAGGTGGAGACCTTTTCTCAGAATAGAACATTTCATACTCACCCATCTTGGCAGGATGTATTAACTAGCTCCAAACGTGAACCAACTGGAAGTTCTTGAAGATCCTCTCTCACAGGCTGGCATGTTTCTGGAGAAGCAAGGATGGAATTACAGTATTTATAGATGTCTCATATCAAAGAGAAGGACAACTCTGGAACTGAAAGTACCTTCACACCGCGGGGCAGAAGGACTCCAATTTCCTGAAGGCATACAGTGAATGGATTTGTTTCCCACAAGCAAGTAGCCAGGGTCACAAGTGTAGTCTACAGTCATCCCAGAGACAAAGAAGACCGTATTTCCACCTGTATGCCGACCATGGTGGAGCCCAGGAGGTGGCTGGCAGCCTGAAGAGAAAAACTCCCTACATAAATACCAGCACGGAGGAATTTCTACTGAAGAACACTAAGTGTACAACATTGGACAGACAATCTGAAACTCTGCTGCCAAAGATCATGAAGCTCAAATTCACCACTGAATGCTGTTTGCTCTTTAAGAAGGCTCTTTCATTATCTACCCTGAATAGATCCCAGATCCAAGTGGGCATTCGCATGAACACACACACAACAGAGAACATCTATTACAGGATGGAAGAAATGGAAAGTAATCTGTGCCCCTCTTGCCTCTTTCCATGATGCGGTTTTGGGTGTGAGATAATAAACAAGAATAATTAAGTAAATCTCTCCTTTTCTTTCCCCCTTATTGGGTTTTTACCTTTTTCACAAACTGGTATTTCAGGATCCCAGGTGTTATTAGCTTTGCAACGAATCTGACTACTGCCCTTCAAAGTAAATCCATTAAAACACTTGAATGTCACAGTGTCATTGTAGAAATATGGGGCTTCCTTGCCAGATATCTTATATCCATTTGCAACATGGACATGTGAGCATTGGACAGCAAGGAGGGAAAGTTCACATAGGGGAGCCGGGCCACTCCAGGTGCCTCTTTCTTGATCGTTGCTTGTACAACGGATGGTGCTCTCTCCAATGAGGCTGAATTCCACTTCTCTTTCTGGCCCGGGGTTACATGTGTAAGTGACCGTGGTTCCATACGGAAAATCTTCTAAGGAACTCCCGGTGTGTGCTCCATTGTAGATAACAGGGGGTGGTGGGCAGGTGATTTCTAGAGAGATGAAAAGATACTGTAGAATTGAGTTCCTGTATTAAACACCAAAGAACAGAAATGATGCTGGCTATGAATCTATTGTTTCCTCGATGGTATGGGTACATTTTCATGATGTGAGCTATGTGAAAGCTCATTAAGTATGTAACATTCAATTTAGACACATTTCATAGGAAAGAAAATCTTTATTAAAAGTGAATGTGGTTGATTAATATCACATTATGAGTTTAGGCCCAATAGTAAATTGCTAATTAAAAGAAGAATTCTTCTTAACTAGACAATAGGAGAATAAAAGACACAAGGGAATAGAATTAGGCTTTCTTGAGTACTCTCTTTGGGCTGAGGTGATATGATAGTTTTTCTTTCTTTCTTTCTTTTTTTTCTTTTTTTTGAGATGGAGTCTCACTGCGTCACCCAGGCTGGAGTGCAGTGGCGCGATCTCGGCTCACTGCAAGCTCCGCCTCCTGGGTTCATGCCATTCTCCTGCCTCAGCCTCCTGAGTAGCTGGGACTACAGGTGTGCGACACCATGCCCAGCTAGCTTTTTGTATTTTAGTAGAGACAGGGTTTCACCGTGTTAGCCAGGATGGTCTCGATCTCCTGACCTTGTGATCCGGCTGCCTTGGCCTCTCCAAAGTGCTGGGATTACAGGCATGAGCCACCGTGCGCAGCTGATATAATTTATATGGTTAGCTGAGAAAACTTATTGTTAAATGAGCACCTACTTTGTGATAGGCAGTTTCCTCATTTAGAAAGTAGCAATGGTACAATTTAATTTGAATAATTTGAAATCTGTAGTCTTTTTTAAATTTTATTTTTATTTTATTTTATTTTACTTTTTGATGGAGTCTTGCTCTGTTGCCTAGGCTGGAGTGCAGTGGTGTGATCTCGGCTTACTGCAGGCTCCGCCTCCTGGGTTCAAGTGATTCTCCTGCCTTAGCCTCCCAAGTATCTAGGACCACAGGCACATGCCACTATTCCTAGCTAATTTTTTGTATTTTTAGTACAGATGGAGTTTCACCATGTTAGCCAGGTTGGTCTCAATCTCCTGACCTCGTGATCTATCCCCCTCGGCCTCCCAAAGTGCTGGGATTACAGGTGTGAGCTACCACCTGGCCCTTTTTACTTTTTATTTACATTCTCTGGACTTCCTAGTCTGTAGTCTTATGCAGATTTTACAGAAGAAAGGCTAGAGTTTCAGAGGAGTTGTACAATTGGTTCAAGGTCTCACACTAGTAAGCAGTAGAGACAGAATGTGAATTCAGATCTGACACCAATCCTTTACTCTCTACATTAAACTGTGTATACCCAAATTAAGATGATGGCTCATATACTCACTGCTGTCATTATTCTCATAATCATAAATCACAAAATAGAATCAATAACCAAGTACATTTAAGTTATCGGTGAAGAAAAAGGTAGCAAAAGAAAGGCATGGCAAAACTGCAACCATAACTATTGGCAAAATTAATAGAACATAATCTAATACTCTAATTCCCCTAACATGCCCCAAAACAAAAATCTCCCAGGAAATGTATAGATCTTACATTATTTCAGCTCCTGTATCACTTTTGCTACTCACCTTTACAAAGACGAATCTCCATAAACCAAGGAGTTGTACCTTGACACTCCTGATAAACGCTCCCACTTAACTTGTACCTAGAGACAGAGTCATGTATGTCATTTTGCCATCAGGTGACCACTAAGTTAAGCAAGAGTCATGGGCTCCCAAGCAGACTCAGTACTTTCAGGCCAAGAAGCAATAACAACAAAAATGTGGCCAACATCAGCACCAACCTCTCATTGCACAGGTATAACTTCCATGCATGGAAAAATAGTATGACAGACACTTCCATAACCACGTGACAGGCAAGCACTTGAGACAAACTCTTACACAGAGCTTGTAGGGTGTACTGACACAAACTCTTACATAGAGCCTGCAGTGTGTGCTGATACATCAGACTTGAGTCAGACTGAGTCAACCTTCACTCACCCTTCATCGCAAGAAGAGTTAACATGTGGTCTAATAAATTGGTGCTGGGGTTTTGTCAAGAGTTGTTTCCCTGTAGCTTCACACCCTGCCACTAAGAAAAGAAACTAGGATGAGAATTTAATACAAGGCAATCTTAAAGTGAACAAAACGTCTACATTTGAGGCCTGGCACCTTTGCATTGGGGTACAGGGGGTGTCCATACCCCCTCAGAGGTACACTGTATGGATTCTTCTCCGACCAGCACATAGCCAGGGTTACAGCTATATTTTATAGATGTTCCAGGGTTAAAGCGGACCATGTGTCTATCTTCTTTTTGCCCATTGAGGATGTTAGGAGGGGCCTGGCATTCTAAACGAAAGGACAAAAACAAAACAAAACATAACTGCTTAAGTAAACAACCACAGAAAGAAACTGAGCCAAAGAAATTGACATTCATGCTACAATTCCACTCTGGTGGCCTCTGTATGATACAGAACATATGTTGCAGACCAACTTTGGGTAATTTTAGGTCACCGTTTCCCAATCTTTTGTTGTTGTTGTTGTTTTCTGCACTTAGGCTACTGCAGATGTTGTTCAGTTTCCACTGGGTGCTGCAACTCCTCTCCTGTCTCTTTCCTTCATAAGGAATCACCTTGTATGTTTTTATGGGAGATTCTGATATATCCCTAGGAATGAGGGATTGAATGACTTCTCTTTTAAGAAGTCACTATTAAGACAAACAAGCATTTTTCTCCCGGCTTTTTCCCCTATAGAAATGGGAAACTTAGTGATTCCTAACATTTATTCTCCCACGCATATTCCCATAAAATAAAACAATGGTGGGGGGCTGGTGATAAGAATGCCCTCTACAAAATTTATATGGATTTCATTTAGTAGATTTGAGGGGAATATAAACTGGACAAGGCCCTACTTAAAGCCCATAACCCCTTCTTCTAATTTTTTAAGAAAACAAATCAGAAGCACCTTTTCTGAGTACCAGAACACTCACCCTTTTCACAGACTGGTGCAGATGGCTCCCACGTGCCTTGGGCATTGCATCGGATTTGCTTGCTGCCCTTCAAAGTGAAGCCAAACATGCAAGCAAATATCACAGTGTCGTTATAGGTATATCGATCTTTCTGCCCAGATACTATTCGGCCTCTTAGGATCTGGGGACGTGGACACTGAACCGCAGAAGTAGAAAGTTCACAGCGTGGGGCAGGACCACTCCAGGTCCCAGTCTTCTGACTATCAACTGTACAACGGAGAGTGTTCTCTCCAATAAGGATGAAGTTCACTCCTTCCTCTGGGTCCGGGTCACAAGTGTAAGTGACTATGCTTCCATATGAGACATTTGCTAGTGAGTTGCCTGTATGTCTTCCATTGAGAATAGGGGGAGGTGATGGGCAAAAAATTTCTAGGGAAATTGCAGAAAGAAATGACAAGATCATAGATGTACTGAAAACAAAGAATGCCCCAGATGTTCCTTGATACCACTATCCTAGGACAGTGATATCTGAATCTATAATGAATCAATCAAGGCAGCTAAAGCAACATAATTTAGAAGTATGATTCTCAAGCTTCATTCCTGAGTATATGTACTCTACTGATCCTTTCATTTCTTTTACCAGATATACAATTTTCTTTACGTACATGGTCTGGCTACCTACTTAGAAGGTCTACATAGCTTTCAGAAGGGGGAAAGCCTAGGAACCCTATTTTAATTGAGGAAGCAAAATATAAGGATGCTTTGGTGAAGACCATGTCCTTAAAGATCTCTAGGAGTTCTGTGTTCTGTAAGAGTCCGTAAGGCAATGACTGAACCAAAAGCTTTTAGTTAAGCTGAGAATGCAGTGCTGTCAGACCATCGTTGCCTAGCCTACCTTTACATACTGGCATTTTTGTCCAAGCAACTCCTTGTCCAGCAATTACACACCGACTAGAAGATGGGCCTTGCAGTTGATACCTGGAGACAGAAGACTGTCATTCAGAACTATTAGGCAGTTTGTGCTGAAGAACAGCAGCCTCTACTTACAGTTCAAGACAAGTTCATTCAATCGGTGTGCACCTGTTCCTTTTATCAGCATTACCTCTCACAATCCTACCCCAGGCTGCCCAGAAATCCTCACAGAGGAACCTTCTGCAGGTTTCATAGTCCACACCACGCACACACAAGCCAAATGAATTAAATCTCATAAATAATCCTGACACTCACCCTTCATCACAGAAAAAGTTTGCAGTTACACCAACTTGGAGAATTGGAGGCTCCTTTACCTTCCCATTGGGAAATCGTCCTAGAGGTTTACAGCGTGCCTCTAAAAAACAAACCAAAGATGAGAAATGTGTGGCAAATAACAGAACAGCTCAGATTCTTAAAATAGATTGTAAATTTAGGGTACCTTCACATGTTGGGGGGACAGCACTCCATTTTCCCGAAGACAAACAGTTAATGATCTTTTCTCCAACAAGCAAGTAACCAGATTCACAGCTGTAAGTCACAGATAATCCTGGAGCAATGGAGCTGACATTCTCGCTTGTGTGATGTCCATTGTGGATCATAGGAAGTGCTGGACACTCCAGAGGGAAAACTTTGCACACACATACCAGGAAAAAAAGCCATCAGATGATGCATCCTTCACAATCTAGAATCAAGGGGGTCCAACCTTTTGCCTTCCCTGGGCCACATTGGAAGAAGAAAAATTGTCTTGGGCCACACATAATATACACTAACACTAATGATAGCTGATGAGCTAAAAAAATTGCAAAAAAAATCTCATAATGGTTTAAGAAAGTTTATGAATTTCTGTTGGGCCATATTCAAAGCCATCCTGGGCCACATGCTGTCCACAGGCAGCAAGTTGGACAAGCTTGATCTAGATGCTGACTTAGGATACAGATCTAAATAAATAACACATGATCTATGGTAGCCAGTTGTTATTAACTTTTGACCTAGTCTTTTAAAGATCAAACAGGTATGGTTTAAGTGTATCCATCTTATGCCATAAATAGCCATGAATAGTACATTATTTTTCATTTTTAGTTACACTATGTGAATTACATTTGCCTTGTGAAAAACTTCAATTACCAAAAATGTCAGTTTTCACCTATATTCTCACCCTATCCTTAAGCTTATTCTCTGTTCCAAAAGTAGCATGCTATCATTTCAAGGGCTATCCTGGTAGATATTAGTAATATAGTTTATTGGGATCCTATGCATGATACATATATAGTGTGTGTGTACAACTAATACATATTCTATGCCTTACTTCCTCTACTTAGCAACATGTATACAATATCCTTCCATGTCCATACATATACGTCTGTCTAAATCGTTACAAAAGCTTGTTTTCAACAGTCATTAAGCTTTCTGACTATCATAAGATCTCCTTTCTCCAACGCTATCTATTTATCAATTGATCAATAAATACAATCCCATTTTATACTAATTTAACAGTTTTGTCAGCTCTTTAATCTGCTTAAAATTTGTCAACATTGTTCTTTATTAAGAAAATAAATACCTAATTTAGTAGTATAATTTTTGTTAAATATTGCCAATTCTTGTAATTGTGAAATTCAAATTCAGATTTATATTTCAGCAGCAACATAAACCAAACCAAAAGAAAAGGAATGAAGAATTTACATAGGTCCCTATTTTCAAAGGCATTTATTTGAAATGTGATGGCTCAGAAGATGACTTGGGGAAATAGTGGATAACTTCAAAACATGTTTACAGAGACTACAGAGAGAAGGATATCACCTGTGCCAGACTGTATTAGCAGATACTTATACATTAATTTCAAATCCATTGGGTATATTTTTGCTATAAGATCCCATCTTTCTTCTCATTTTAACAGTAACACAGATATACAGTTGAAAATCACCCTATTCCTACAACCCCAACAAACTCTGGCCCCATCCTTGCAAAACTTACCCTACTCAATTATTAGGTATGTTTAATTACATTTTTCCATTGTACTTTAAATTCCTTTGCTCAACTGATGTTTTTTGAATGAGCAGTTATATTCCTCCATGAAGAAAAATGAAGAAGCCATAACTTTCACCTTTTCCCTTGTTTCCTTCTTCCACCCCCATTATTACATGTTCACACTGTTTGTCCTTCAGGAGGGTACAAAGCGTGGTCTGCACAGAAAAGCAAGACCCCACCTCCCAACTCAGCTTTCTTTTCATACTCACCACTTTCACAGGTTGGTAGTCGTGTCGGTCCCCACCTATTATTTGCTTGACACCAAACAGACTTGTTTCCGTTCATGGAGAAGTTGGTTTTACAGGCAAATGTCACAAAATCACCATGTATGTAGGGTGGTACAGAGCCTCTAGTTTTGTATCCTCCTGGTACTATGGGCTCAGGGCAAGTAGAATATTTATTGAAATATTCACATTTAGGAGCAGGTTTATCCCAGATTCCAACCACTTTGTCTTTAGTTATGCAAATTATATTTTTTTCTCCAATGAGGCGGAAGCCATTTGAACATATGTACCTTATCACAGTACCAAGAGTGATGGGGGTAGAATAATCACTAGTCCGGCCATTTAGGATAGGAGGAGGAGAGCCACAAGAAATTCCTGAAAAGTAGAAAAGGAATTTGGTAGGCATACTGATCATGGTGATAAAATATTCAAATATAGGTAAAATATCCAAATATATATCACACAACTTTTTCAGAAACAGACTTAGAAATACGTATAGCTTATTTCTTCCCTGCTTACTCCCAAGCTCCTAAATTCTTATCTTTTTCTTCATCCTCAGCAAACAGATCAACATGAATCATCTTGATCAAACAATAATAATGAAAAGAATGTATCCAAAAGTTCTGAATCTAATCAATTTTAATAATGAAATAAAAGGCAAATTTAGCACATGAAAATAACATATTACTGGCACATTAGTTACATGTGGGAAGGTACCATGGATTAAGGAAATTTGAACTCAGCAGACCTAGTTTCAAATCCCCACAGTCATTCAATAGCTGTGTGACTTCAAGCAAGTCTTACCCTCTTTAAGCTTCAGTTTCTTAGTCTATAGTATAATGCAAACTACTTCATAAGGTGCAGTGAGAATCCAGTGCTAAAAGTACATGAACAGAGAAAGTACAATACCTGGAACATACTAATTATTCAATGGCTATTTCAAACACACAACTGGGGGTACAGGCTGTGATTACCACATTTGGTCCTGCTGCTGAAGATACTAGAGCCTCACTACAGGTGATTTGTCATGACTTGATGCTGGAACACTTTGAAAAAGCCACAGGAAGTGAACAGAGGTTTTGAATAATGGCCTCATATTCTTCATTTACTTGTCCTAATAACCATGAAGGATATTGTTTACAGTTACTTTGTTACGCACACCTTTTCTGAGGCAGTCTCAGAATTAAGGGAAAATTGCCAACCTCTAGAACTTTCAGTTAACTTTCTTTTGGCTCCAAGAGGAGGTCTTGAGTGAGAACTGGCATAAGAAAATATAGCCAAACTGTTTCATCACATCAGTGCTATACTTGGTTTCAGTAAGGGTAACTTTCGAGAACTGTTATCTTTATATATATAGAATCTGCAATATAATATGTACTCAACTGAATCAATTTAACATATTTGGTCTGCATTCCAGAAGACAGAGAAGAGTGGCATATATATATTCAAAGCACACATATGGATAAGATGTGATAATTGATATATGGGTGGGAACACACCAAACATCAAAAGGCAAGATCCATACTTGGTTGTTTTGTTTTCCACTCCCTAGACAGAAATTTATTATTCCAGGGTGTTGTCATTCCTTCTGGGACATACTGACTAGAAGATTTGCCATTTAACTGGAACATTAAACAATAAAGGGTAACAAGTCATCACCAGAACAAACCAATTCTCAGTCAAATTAGTCACTTCTCTCAAGTTGATGGTATTAATGGGATCTATATTTTTAAGATTTTTGACTTCAGGGAAAAAGTCCAAGGTTATTTGTGATCGACCCAACTACATGATAACTTCAGATTAGGAAAAAACATATAGAAAAATAAAATCTTAAAAATCGTATTCCTTTTAACATTCTTCCTCCCCTCTTTTGCATCCAAATATCAAGATTCTCGTGACCATCTAGAAAAAAATAGTCTCCTTTTCTAGTGAAGAAAACATCAAACATCTTGATCCTGAAGTTTACTCCAGAGAGTCCCTCTTATTGAACCCAGGATCATCTATTCATTCTCCATATTTGGAGCCTTCACTTCTAATCTAAAGCTTTGCTCTTTCAACTGCTGAAAGGACAATTCCCAGCTTTGGCTGGCCATGCGTAATACATACATTTGCAGAAACTAAAGAGGACTTGGTTAATGACAGAGCTTTAAGTCATAAAGGACAAAGAAAAAGAGAGAAAAAGTCAGAAAAAAAATAACTGTCTTTAGAGATCACACTTCACAATGTTTAACTATGGGTTCTAGGTCTCAGTTCAGGCCCCATCACCTCACACTCACCTCTCATCACAAAGGAAACCTCTGTCCCATGTTAAAGATTAGGAGTAGGAGCTACATAACCATTGAGAAGTTGGTTTTGGAGTGGCATCCCATGATTTCACTTGAAAAAAAGAGACAAGGTTGATACGTAAGCAGGGAACTGTTGAGTTTTCTTTAGATGGAGTAGAACTTTGGGCACCTGCACATTTTAGTGCTACATGGTTCCAGGTTTCCAAGGACATACGCTGCACAGAGTTAGTTCCAATGAGAGTGTAGCCAGGCTTATATCTGTAGGACACTTCCTTATCTCTTTTGTTATAATTATCATGGTAGATATGTGGAGGTGGCAGATTCCCTGAGAAAAGAGTAAGACATTCTTCTCTGCAGCATAGAGAAGCTCTTTCTAAAATAAGAGCAATCTTTTCTACCACCAGCTTGGGGTTAGTAGGCATGGGATGAAGGTGTTCCCATAAGCTGTCCTAAAGGTAAGGCAGAGAGTCCTTTGGGTGACATAGAACAGAGCTGGCATGCATTATTTTTTTCAGAAATGATGAACTTTATAATTATCTGTTTTCTTTATCTTGATTTATGACAGGAAACATTACCTTACTCATCATTTTCCATTTCATTCAGTTCAAAGGGTCTGAGCCATTCTCTCATCAATATCGTAGCCAGTGAAACTAAACTTTTGCAACACATTTTCACCACCAAAATCTACCTCTTCCTTCCTGCTCCAAAAACAAGGCTAATGAGGTTTCTGAGCTTTGTGGACAAAGCTTTCAATGTTGCCAGGTTGTTAGAGAGTCAGACACTTCCCAGTAAAAGAAGAGGAGAAGGGGAGAATGGAGGGTGCAGACTCAACCTGATGACTAGCCTTCTTTCATAAAGGCTTCATTTTTCAGTATGAAAATGTATAATGTCCACAGTATTTTTTTATTTTTAATTTTGTGCCTGTGACACAGCCTCAGGATGTCCTGAGGCATGTGCCCATCTACAGTATTTTGAGTCAAATTCTGATCTCAGCCAATTTCCCCCATTGGTGTGGCCAATGGGATTGAGAGTTCAGCCAATGGAATTGAGAGTTCATCTTATCTTCCTTTGAATAAAATCTAGTCTCATATATATGTGTGTGTGTGTGTGTGTGTGTGTATACACACACACACACAAAAACAAAATCTCTAATCATTGACTTTGGTGCTATCTGCTTTTTAAAAAAGCATCTTTTAATTTCCCCTACAATAACACAGATCTAGTACTGCCCCAAAATACAAAAGAGAAAGAAGTCCTACATCTGCAACATTTAGATATTACTTTCAAAGTTTACTTTTAAACTCTTTAACTAGGCCAGGTGTGGTGGTTCACGTCTGTAATTCCAGAACTTTGGGAGGCTGAGGCAGGCAGATCACCTGAGGTCAGGAGTTCAAGACCAGTCTGGCCAACATAGTGAAACCCCATCTCTACAAAAATACAAAATTTAGCCAGGCATGATAGCGGGTGCCTGTAATCCCAGCTACTCGGGAGGCTGAGACAGGAGAATCACTTGAACCCAGGAGGTGGAGTTTGCAGTGAGCCAAGATCATGCCATTGTACTCTAGCCTGGGCAACTGAGCGAGACTCCATCTCAAAAAAACAAAAACAGAAACAAAAAACAAACAACAACAATAAAAACCTCTTTAACTAGAAAACGCAACCACATATACTATCTTCCTTCTGCTCTTTCCATAGGTACCATATACCTGTTTCCCAAAAAAACCTTGTTTTATTTCTAGATCCTGAAGTTTCAGCCCAGCTCACCCCTGAAGCACGTTGGCAGTAGAGGATTCTGTTTGCTGTTTAGTTGACATCATATTACACTGCTGCCTTTCATGGTAAAACCAAGCTTACACTTAAATATCACTGTATCATTTTTAAAAAATGAACATAATCCAGATTTCACAACTCCATTTTCAACTTCTATAATTGAGCATTCAGGTAAGAGTAATACACTGAAGAGGAGGGTTGCTGCAGAGCTCCAGATATCAACTTGATTACCTTTGCTGGTGCAATGCATTGACTCTCAACCAAGGGGTCAAACAGCTTTTCCCTATTATATCCAATATGGCACTGATGATTTCATAGTAAACCTCTCTCCCTGTTGCTGCTGTCATTGGGGATGGCTGGGAGTGACTTACAAGGAATACCTTTTTAAGGAGTAGGTGGAGAAAGAGAGAATATTATACTTTCTGAGAATTTTCTCTTCATTCTTGCAATCCAAACTGCAACTCAGCCTGCAATTTACCCATTTTGTTGAAATTCTGTATCCTGATCTCAAAGATGATTCTAAATAGGAAGTAGCAAGGTCGAAAGATATATGGAACTGGCTGGTAAAAACCAAAAAGCTATGAGCTGGTCACCAGTCCCCACCCCAGACCACAGACAAATTGTTATAGAAGGGACCTAGGGTAGCTTACTTTTTGCATGGAATAAAGTTGGCAGTGTGTAATCTCCTGGAATGTTTTAGATGTAAGCATTTATTCACTATGAAATAACTTATAATCAAAGGACAGTAAACAAAGGAAAGTGTGGTAGGATTGGGGGCCATGAGGAAGATGGGTAAGTCATAGCTGTGTGCTTAGAGCTACTCAAACCAAGTGTAACCCTCCTGGCTACTCACTTTGGTGTGCAGATGCCCAATTTCCCTCTGGAAGGGGCGAGAGGAATTAAAGAGGGTGCAATAAAGAGATTGTTTTACTTACATTCCTAAAAATGTATGTCATTATCCCAGGTTACAATATTGTCTGAGATAATACATATAGCAGATGAGTCACTAAACACAAAGAGATGAGAAATCTCACAACACACGTTTACCTATGTAACAAAACAACACACGTTTACCTATGTAACAAAACTGCTGTTCTACTGAAAGAACAGCAAAGAATAGAATATCATTTATGACAAGTAGGGGTGATAGATTAAGGACTCATACAATTTAAAGCCAAATGAAATTCAAGCTCCTGGGCAGTAGCACTGGAGATTTAAAATTGGAAGAGAGTAGCCAAAACTTCCTTGTCTCCTAAGAATCCTCTCTAGCTGGTAATCTTGAAGCAGTGTCTCTAGAGTAGATCAGGGAGGTGATTCCTTTTTCCTTATTTATTTTAAAAAGTATGTGGCAATTACTCAGATCTCTTTTGGAAGAGTGACGGTTTCTGGTTGGAACTGCTGTTCTGGTATCCATGTACCCTGGAAATGTCTCCTGCCAACCCACCCTTTATTACAAAATTATGTCACTGTCGACCCAAATGTAATACCCATGTGTGTAATCACAGAGTCCTAAAGGAGTTCTCTATGAATCATACATGATTTACCTACAAAAGAAAACCAAACCAACCCAAACAGAATTCCAGACTGGGATTTAGGAGACTTTTTGGAGATTTTTTGTGTTTTATATTAGATCTCAACCTGACTGGACTTGCTGACAGGCCTGCTTATGTTTACTCACAGAAATTCTTACATTTACAAAACTTTCCAAAGGATCAGTCAACTCTAGGACACTACTTATTTAATGCACACAGTCTGTATTTCTGTGCATGGACGCCAACTTTATTTGTGGTCAATTATAACTTAGAGTCTTCATTTTCCATTTTTATATATATTCTGTTAATCTATGGTATCATCTACCAAATCTTCTGCCTTAAAAAAACTCACATTAACCATTTCCTTTTTGTAACTCATCCTCTACTCTCTGCTCTTCATTCAATTAGTTACCAAAGTTTAGTGACTGGACTCCAGAAATCTCACCCCAAACGAACTATTTTGTCATTGCAGCAGTCTCTCATTGGATCATTGAATAACATAATTTACTTTTCTAATTTTTCTCCCTTGGGCTGGTACATCTTCTATACCACTGCACATATTATCTTTCTATTTTTTTTTTTTTTTTTTTTTTTTTTAGCAGAGACAGGGTTTCGCCATGTTGGCCAGGAGTTCATGTTGGTCATGAACTCCTGACTTCAAGTGATTCGCCTGCCTCGGCCTCCCAAAGTGCTGGGATTACAGGCGTGAGCCACCGCGCCCGGTCCATATTATCTTTCTAATACACAAATGTGGTCATGCCACTCTGCACATTTAAAAATTTACTATGACTTACCATTGTTTATAGGGAAAAAATGCATAGAGTTTTTACAAGTAAGCTCCAATCCATTTAATCAACTACCATTCATCACTATGTAGCCTATACTCCAATGACACTGATTTTTTTCCAAAGATATTATGTTCTCGCACACTTATGCTTTTGCAAATGCTGTTTCCTCTGCCCGGAAGGCCTATATTTCTCTAATTCTTCTAGGTAGCATTTATGATTTATTTCTCTATGACCTCATAACACTTCATAAATAAGAGAACTACATCAAGAGATGAGTGATCATCTCCCAGCTAGACTTACATTTTAGAAAAGCTTAGTTCTTTCTCTACTGAAAGAACAGCAAAGAATAGAATATCATTTATGACAAGTAGGGGTGATAGATTAAGGACTCATACAATTTAAAGCCAAATGAAATTCAA